GTCTTCTGCTTGGCTTGAGGGAGGATGTGGGAGGGTTGAATGAAGGGCCTTCATCCGGGGCGCTGTCTTCGGCAGCTAGGGCATCGGCTGCACTGTTGAAGCTCTTTGCGCCCATCCTGAAGGAAGCGGTGTCTCTGTTTTTTGCTTCTTGCCTCGCGTGCCTTCAGGCTGTGCTCGCCCTCTCTTTGGAATCCGCTTGGGCCCCTGGCTCTTAGGTTTTCGTCTGCGTTTTGTCCGTTGCTGTTTGCAGAGTCTGCAGTGTCCCAGTTTCTGGATGCGGCTTCGGCTAGTTGTCGTCCTATGGCGGACTTGTTGATTCTCCGGAGCGGTCGTTCTCGGCAGTTTCGGAGGGGTCGTGCCAGGGTTCCGGGTTCCACTGGTCGAGGTAGGCCATTGGTGCCAGTTTCTGAGCCGTTGTTCCCTTCTGGGCCAGCGTCGTCTGGTCGGCGCGGTAATCACCCTGTTCGACGTTTGGGTTCTTGTAAGGGGCGTCGGCCCTTTCGCGGTTCGCCCCGTTGACGGGGCGATGGGGGGGAGGCTCACTCTGTTTGCTCACGCTTGGTCCCACGATTTGTGAGCCTTTTCGGTCGTGTCATCCGGCCTGTGGTGGCGTTGGGCGACTTGTCCTCCTTTGGGGGGTTCGGGGCTAACAGGGCAGGTTTCTTCTCCTGCGTTTTGTCAAGTCGTCTTGGAGTGGGTGTGCTTGGGCGTGGTCGAAACGACTACGTCCCTCAGGTGGGTTTCCCATCTGTTTCCAGTACCGAAACGGGACAGTGCGGATCTGAGCTTCATTCTGGACTTGTCCCATCTGAACCCCTGGATTCCTTGCCCCTTCTTTCGGATGACTACTCTGTCTCAGGTCCGGCTTCTGTTGGAGCCGGGTGCCTGGATGGTGTCCCTAGACCTCAAGGACACCTATTAGCACATTCCTATTCATCCGGGGTTCAGGGGACTGGTTAGGTTTCGTGGTGGGGCGTCACGCTTACCGTTTTTGATGCCTACCTTTTGGCTTGAATCTTGCACCTCGCGTTTTCACGCGTTTGACTTGGGTTGTGGTGACCCATCTGGGTCTTCTAGGGATTCGGGTTTTGGCATACCTCGACGACTGGCTGGTGTGGGCTCCCAGTTGGTCAGCTTGTCTGCTCGCCAGGGATATGGTTCTTTCCCAGCTCGCCAGGTTTGGGTTCCTGGTGAACTGGAGGAAGTCCCATCTGGTTCCGTCCCAGGTTCGAACCTGGCTGGGTCTTGTTTGGGATTCTCGGACCGCTTCCTTGTCTCTCCCTCCAGAGGCGTTGTTGCGGCTGCGGGACTGCCGTCGGCTGTTTCTGAGGGGGTCCCGGGTCACTCGGCGGTTGCTCGAGCGGTTGTGCAGGAGTCTGAACTTCGCCGTGCTAGTCTACCCGCCTGGTCGGGTTTGGCTTCGGCGTCTATTTTGGTTCCTTCGGGGACGTCCCTTCTGCCTCTCTCATGATCGTTGGGTTCGTCCTCCAGGGGCCTTGTGTCGGTTGCTGTGTCACCGGCTTCCTCTTCGGGGTTCGGTGCCTTGACGCCTTCCTGAGCCCTCGCTCGATGTGTTCCCGGATGCATCGTCTCTCGGCTGGGGCTTTGTGATCAGTGCTCACCAGACAGGCCAGGGACGGTGGGATCCGTCCTTCAGTCGGGCTCACAGCACGGTTCGGGAGTTCGCGGCAGTCTGGTTCGCACTTCGGAGGGTTCGGGTCGCTCGAGGATCGACCATTCGCCTCCATTCGGACTGTTCTCCAGTGGTTCATTGCCTGAACCGCAGGGGTTCTCTTCGGTCCTTGGCTCTTTGGGGTTGTTCTCTTCGAGTGGTTCGCCTGCTGGATTCTCGGGGTTTGGCTCTCCGTGCGGTTCATGTCCCGGGAGTGTCCAACGTTCTGGTGGACGGTCTGTCACGCTTCCATTCCCTGTCCACGGAGTGGACGGTCGACGACGACTCGTTTTGTTGGATCTGCCAGACGTACGGTCTCCTAGATGTGGACCTCTTCGAGTCGGCGTGGTCTCGGCATCTCCCAATCTATGTGACGCCCTTCCCTGACTGCGTCGCTTTCTTGGTGGATGCCTTTCGGCAGGACTGGTCGAGATGGGGTTACCTGTACCTCTTCCCCCCGGTCCAGCTGTTGCTTCGGGTTCTGGTTCGGTTGCAGACATTCCCAGGGGAAGTAGTCTTTGTGGCTCCTTGGTGGCCGGCCCAGCCTTGGTTTCCGATGCTATTGGCTTGGTGCCCGAACCCAGGATGTTTCCCGCGGCTCCGCCTCTTTCAGGAGGTTGGCCCGGTCCAGTACAGGGCTGGTTCGAACTTCTCCTCTGCTCTTCGCGTCTGGTCTTTTTGACGCGGGTGTATCACCAATTCTGTGGTGATCAGGTGGCTTCGTTGATGGTTAGGGAGCCGGTCGGCCGAGCGGACAGCACGCTGGACTTGTGATCCTGTGGTCCTGGGTTCGATCCTAGGCGCCGGCGAGAAACAATGGGCAAAGTTTTTTTCACCCTATGCCCCTGTTACCTAGCAGTAAAATAGGTTCCTGGGTGTTAGTCAGCTGTCACGGGCTGCTTCCTGGGGGTGGAGGCCTGGTCGAGGACCGGGCCGCGGGGACACTAAAGCCCCGAAATCATCTCCATATAACCTCCAGATGGTGTCCCACCTGAGAGCTTCGTCTCGGCGACAGTATGAAGTTTCCTGGCGTTCTTTTCGCCATTTTCTGGCTCTTCGTAGGTTGTCTTTTCTTTCGGATTGGGTTGTCTTGTCCTTTCTTTCTTGGCTTTTTCAGGACCGTCATTTGATGCCTAATACTGTCACCTCGTATCGTGCGGCGCTGGCGGAGCCGCTCAAGCTAGCGTTTGGGGTGGACGTCACATCCGCCCCGTTTCATAAGCTTTCCCGTGCTATGTTTCACCTCCGGCCTGCTCATGCACCTCCTGAGCCGTCCTGGTCCTTGGACAGGGTGCTCTTCTATCTTTCCTCTCCTCGGTTTGTGGTGGCCACTTTGGTTCCGGATTGTTTTTCCAAGGCTTTGTTTTTGTTGGCATTGGCCTATGGGGGCCGGGTAGGGGAGCTTCATGCTCTCCTCCGGCGCAGGGGTTTCTGCTCTTTTGGTCCTGGGGGTAGGTTTTATCCGTTTGCAGCCTTCTCCATTTTTCCTGGCGAAGAACGAGACGGCTGCTTTCTGGAGGAGTCCGTGGGTCATTGATGCTTGGTTGGTTCGGCCAGGGGTGCATCATGTGTTGTGTTCGGTTGCAGCACTTCGCCGTTACCTGCGCGCTTCAGCTGGGGTGGCTGGGGATGCGCTTTGGGTTGATCCGGTTTCCCTCGTTCCCTGTTCCAGGGCTCAGGTCTCCCAGGTTGTCCGCAGGGTTAAGTCTAACCAGCCTGCGGTCCATCCTCGCACCCATGACATTCGGAAGTTTGCAGCTTTGGCTGCCGTGTTTGGTAACATGTCTTGGGCTCATATTCGGGCTCATGGATTTTGGAAGTCGAACAGGGTCTTGGCCGCCCGTTATTTGGTGAACGTCCCTGCTCCTTGGCGTTCTTGTGTTGCTTTTGGTCGCAGGTTGCAGCCAGTTGTCTCAACTTCGCATTGAGGAGTTTGTGGCTGCCGCCCTCCCAGGAAAGCCTATTTCCTTCTCTTTGGGTATGTAGCTCCAGGGAGCCTCCAGGGCTCCCCACAGAAAACCAGCGTTGAATGTAATGAAACACCATTTTCTGGGTGAGCCCTGGAGGCTCCCTGGCTACCTTCCGTCCCATCCGGTTGGCAGGGTTTTTTCGCTTTGGTTGAAGCCAAGTTTCCGATCTGAAGGCAGCCAGCACGGTGAGATCCGGGAGCCCTCCTCCCGTGGAGGGAAGGGCTGCGGAGACGACCGGCGCGGTAGTAAATTGATTGTTTGATTGTTTCCTTGGGATTGTAGGGAGTTTCTACCTCTCTGTTCGTTTTTTTTGTTGTAGTTTTTTACCATGTGGGGTTTGTTTTGTTACGCCTACCTTTCTGGGTGCCTGACCCCAGTCAATGGCAGATAAGGAAAACCCCCAACCATAATGGGGTTTTCCAGGGCCATTGCTCCCTGAAACCTCTCTGAAGGGGCCAGGTTCTGGCGCTGGTCCCTGGTAGGTCTGAACTGCATAGCTAATGTCCCGGTCTAACATAACATACATTAGCCCGATAAGCTCCAGGGAGCCGTAGGGGCCCACCCAGAAAATGGCGTTTCATTACATTCAACGCTGGTTTTTTGACATCCAGCCTCGGAACTTGGGTGTTGGGGTCTGGGGCTCCCCCTTCTCCCTCCCTGGGAGGGTGGGAGCTGTGGAGACAGCAGCGCAGTGACATGGTGATGTCATGCTCGTTTTCATGGGGGAATTCTGTCCACTAGTTCAGCTTTTAGTAGCAATATTTTAACCAGAATATGGGTTTGTTTTGGGGCACTTGCATGCCAGACCCAGTCAATGACAGACAGAATGCTTCCAACCACACGGGGGTTTCAATTGGCATTGTTCCTCGTGCCTCTGAGATGGCCAGGTTCTGGCTTGTGGGCCCTGGTAGGCTTAGAAGTCTATGTGCATTGACTGATGCCAGGGTCTAATATATTTATATCAGCCCAGTTAGCTCCGAGAAGCCTCTGGGTCTCGCCCAGAAACTGGAGTTTGATTACATTTAACAATTTTTTTTTTTTTTTTGCAGGTGGTCTGTATCTGATCACAAAGTTGCACTTGCTTCATAGAGTGAGCCAGATTCTGGTTCTGTCTCGCTTTAGACAATAATGGGTAACGGGGGCCCTGGTGTGATTAGCTAAGTCCTGGAAGTAACAGAGCTAAACTGAGTTAAGACCCACCCAATTTGTTTACCAAAATATTGACCTTAAAACCCTACTTCAACAAGGTCTTTATTTATGTTAGTGTCTTTGTAGTCACACCAGTTGGTACTCATTAATTTGTTTCTATTAAATGTGCTTTATTACTATGTAGTTCACAGTATTTAATTATGTTTTAGATGTGTGCTGGCCACCAGGATGATGTGTTGCACGGTGATTTAGAGGCCCTAAGTAGCATCACGCAGGTCCTGTATACTAAACTGTGCCAGAGTCAACTTTGGACCATTTTCCTTCACTTGGAGATGAGGATTGTTCCCACTCTTGCTGGTGAGATGTTGGGGGAACAGTTGACAATATCACATTTTGTACTATCATTTTATTGCAATAGTTACTACTCTAGCTGCATGGCCAACCATCTTTTTAAGTCTTTACACTGTAAATATAGAGTTAAATTACTCACACTGTAAATTTGAATTTTGTAAAAGATTTGGCGGAGCAACTGAACATGACTATTAATATTCCAGTAATGTGGTAGCAACCCTGGTTATTTCCTAATATTATAAGGAATGTTTGGTATTTACAAAGGTAGGCATCAATTCACCCAAAAGAACTGACGGTCCCGTTCCATGGTCCTTTTAGAAGAAAGGAACTATGACTTGGAAATCATTTACGGTATATATAATTTTAATAGATTAAAATTAAATTCCAAATAATACATATAATACAAAGTTAATACAGTATTATGAAACAAGGAAAAAATATAAAAAGTTGTGCTTCAGTTTTCCATTCAAGATGACTAGCATTTCAAAATGGCTGTGATTGAGCTATGATCTCTTTTGCCTTGATCTAAATAACTATTTGGTGCATAATTTATTCTTGTTTTAAATTGAAAAATACATTTTGTATGTGTCAATAAAACACCTTAACACACAGTCCTCTTTTAGTTTTTCAAAATTAAAAAATCCAGCATTGAATGTAGTGAAATGCCTCTTTCGGGATGAGCCCCAGTGTCTCCCTGAAGCTATCTCGGTGAGATTGTTCCATGCAGGTGGGTCACATCAGATGCAGGAATTCTGTTTGGCCTACAGCGGACCAGAGCCAAAACAAGGCCTCAACTTCAGAGGCTCGGAAAGTGAGTGAAAATTTGCCACCACACTGAGAAAGCATCCAGAATGTCAGTGAAGCTTTACAGACAACTGGATGGTTAACAAAGGCTGAAGCCTTGGGACTGCCAACCAGCTCTGCAAATGATTCAAACAGAACAAGAGAAACATTAAAAAAGCACCTTGGCTTCCACACAGAGCCAAAAGAGCCTGACCAAAGAGCCAAACTCAACTCCCGCAAGCACAACTAGGCGAGTACCTAGCCTTCTTCCTTGCCAGTTCTGGAGCTGAAGAACATCCCGCTCACGAAGCACAAACCTGGTAGGGAGGGAGTGAGAGTTCTGGAGCTGAAGAACATCCTGCTCACGAAGCACAAACCTGTTAGGGAGGGAGTGAGAGTTCTGGAGCTGAAGAACATCCTGCTCACGAAGCACAAACCTGGTAGGGAGGGAGTGAGAGTTCTGGAGCTGAAGAACATCCTGCTCACGAAGCACAAACCTGTTAGGGAGGGAGTGAGAGTTCTGGAGCTGAAGAACATCCCGCTCACGAAGCACAAACCTGGTAGGGAGGGAGTGAGTCAGGGAGCCACTGGGACTCGTCTAGAAAGAGATGTTTCACTACATACAATGCTGGATTAGCGCCTCAAAACTAATTAACCACAGAGAACAAAAAGGGATTTACCCGGGAGGAGATAGGGCATGCACAAGGACAAAGAAGAGAACCCTGGTATAAAGCTTCACATGATCAGCTGGTACAAAGGAACATTAACGAAATACAGTACGAGGCTGCCAGGACCTGTAAGGGCCAAAACTCTCGTGCCCAAATGTCATCCCATGACATGTTGGAGAGGGCTGCTGCCAACTCGGCAGTCATGTGAAAATCATGGGCCCGAGGGTAGACCACAAGCTGGCTAGATTTATTGACCCTGCAAATGACCTGGGAAATATGAGCCTTGGAACAAGGGACAAAGGAAGCAGGTTCAACCACCAAGGTGTCTGTTGAGGTGAATCTGTGACCTGCAAGTAGTGACCAAGAGCTGTGATTGGACACAAGTGATTCATCCCAGGCTAGACCAACCAAGCATCAGTCAATAACGGGCCTCTCCGAAAGCTAGCCAACTCGGTCTTTGCTAGAAAAAGGAGAAGGCTTCAAATGAACAAACTGTCCACCAGGACTAAAGGAACAAAACCTCCCACCTCTGAAGACGAGCCTGAAGCTCCCCCAACCCTACAACCGGAGATGAGAGGCAAAAAAAATACAGCTGTGAGAAAGAACCAGCGTTGAATGTAATGAAATGCTATTTTCTTGGTGAGTCTTTGAGGCTCCCAGAGTTTACCGGGCTGATATACAAGTATTAGACCGTGGCAACAGTCCTTCAAATGGAGTTCTAATTCCTACCAGAGACCACTAGCCAGAACCTGGCCCCCCCCCCCTCAGAGAGGCATGAGGAGCAATGGCCTATAGACACTCCCATGTAGTTGAAAGCAGTCTGTCTGCCATGACCAGGTCAGGCACCCAGAAAGGTAGGCATCCCAAAACAGACGTCAACTGGTAAAACATTGCTACCGAAAGCTGAAATGCTAAGCAGAACTCCCCAATTTGAAAACAAGCAAACAAGCATGATGTCACATCCTCCGTTGCACCGCCTATCTGCACAGCTCCCCCCCCTCCCTGGTAGGGGAATTGGGGGTCCCCAGACCCTCCATGCTGACTATCCAACCTCAGTTCTGAGGCTGAATTGTCAAAAATGCGAAACTATTGACCGGGGATAGGAAGGGTTGCCAGGAAGCCTCTAGGACTCGCTCAGAAAAAGGCATTTCATTACATTCAACGCTGGTTTTCAGTGGAGAGCCTTTCCGGCTCCCCGGAGCTACCTAACCAAAGACAAGTAAACGAGAGATGGACCTGGGTGGTAGCTGCCACTCACGTCTCAACTCGAAGTCGAGACAACGGACTGCAACCAGCGACCAAAAGTGATCCACACCCGACTAGGGCCAGGAACAGAAACGAGGGAACGGGAGGCCAGGACCCTGGTCAACCTCCAAATCCCCATGCCTGAATGTCAGCCCAAGACAAAGCACCAAAAAGCTGCAGCTGAAACAGCAAATGCGCAAACATCATGGGCATGAGGATAGACTTCAGGCTGGCTGAACCGAATAACCTCGTGGACGATCTGGGAGACCCGAGCCCAGGAACAGGGAAGAAGGAAAACCGGGACAACCCAATTCGCATCCCTAGACACCAAGGCCATGGCTCGCTAGTAACGGCAAAAAGCCACAACCGGACACAACACGTGATGCACCCGTGGCTGAACCAACCAACCATCAACAGCCCAAGGACCCCTCCGGAAAGCAGCCACCCAACTGTCGCCAGAAAAGGTGGAAAAAACCTCTGCGCCGGAGAAGAGCAAAAACCAGCAACCAGCTCCAAAGAGGCAAGGACAGAAGAGAACCCCCACGGTTCAGGCAATGATCCACCGGGGAGCAGTACAAATAGAACCGGATGGAAGAGCACCGAGCAACTCAAACCCTCCAAAATGAAAGGCAAACCACTGCGAACCCCCCTCACGGTGCTGCAAGTCCAAGAATACGGACGGACCCCACCACCCCCAGCAGGCCTTTTGGGCACTGCCGAGAAACAACGCATTTGGGGCGCCGGTGCCTAAATGAACAGCACCCTGGATACTTAATCCTGTGGTCCGGAGTTTGATTCCTGCCGCCGCCGGGAAAAAAAAGTGGAAAAGTTTCTTTAACCCTGATGCCCTTGTTTCCTAGCAGTAAATAGGTACCTGGGAGTTAGACAGCTGTTATGGGTTGCTTCCTGTGTGTGTGTGTGTGTGTATGTGAAAAAAAAATTAGTGACAGTTGATTGACAGTTGAGAGGCGTGCCAAAGGAGCAGGGCTCAACCCCCCGCAAGCACAACTTGGTGAATACTATTAGATGAATACATGTCCGTGAACACATCGAGTGTGGGCACGGGGAGCCACCAAGATACTGAACCCCGAAAAACCTGAAGAGGAAGCTGGCGACGCAGCAACCAATGCAAGACTCCTGGCGGCCAAACCCAGCGACCGCAAGAGCTGCGGATGGAATGGCCTCAAAGGAACCAGAACAACTGCTGAAGTCAGATCTGACCTGGCGGGTAACAAGCACGGCAAAGTGCAAACTCCCGCACAGCTGAGTGACCTGGAACCCCCCCTCCCCCCTTTCCAGAACAGCCGAAGGCAGGACAGCAGTTGCAGCAGCAACTCCAGAGGGAGAGACAAGGAAGTGGTCCGAGAGCTCCACACAAGACCCAGCCAGGTCCAAACTAGAGAAGGAACCAGATGGGACTACCCCCGGTACACCAGGAACCGGAACCCGGCGAGCTGGGAAAGATCCACCCCTCTGGCAAGCAGACCGGCTGGAAGCCCTCACCAACCAGTTGTCGAGGTATAGGCCAAACCCAAACCCCTAGCAGATTGAGACAGGCCACCACAAACTGGGTAAAACTCGGCATACATGAGGTGCTAGAGCCAAACCAAAAGGAAGGCAACAAAAGTGTAAAGCCAGTCGTCCTACAATGAAAACCAATCAGTCCCTGAACCCCCGGAGAAAGACGAATGTACCAAAATGCATCCCTGAGGCCAGGGACACCATCCAACACCCTGGCTCCAAAAAAAGAGCCAGACATGGGATTGCGTTGTCCTCCAAAAAGGAGGGGCAAGAAATTTAGCGGTTCAGACAGGACACATCCAGAATGAACCGCGGAACTGAACAGACCCATTCTGGTACTGGAACAGGTGGGACCCACCAGAGGTATGGGGTCAAAACGACCCCATACCTCTGGTGGCGCACCAGACCCTCATACCCCAAACGCACCAACTCTAAAATGACTAGATGATACGCAGGTGGAAGAGACCAGCCCCATAAGCCCCAAACATCCTGAAGAAGGAGGAGCCACCCAACGCCACCACAGGCTGGAGGAGATGACCTGAAACACCCACAAAACTCTGGACCAGGCATGGGCAAACAGAGCCAGCCACCCCCTCCCACCCCCTTTCCCCAGCACCCTGTCAATGGGGCTACCAGGAAAAGGGGCCCCCCTTCCCAGAAACTGACGTACAAGCATAGCGAGCACAATGCCGGCCTAATCCAGACTGAACCGGAGGAGGCACAGAACCTGGCACCAAGGGCCACCTCAACTCAGAGACCTGAACCCCAGGTCTGGGGTTCTGGGCAACTGGGTGAATTGGAGCACCAGCAAAGAACACTCGCAGGGCTCTGGGTCAAGGTGTCACTGATCCAATAGGCAGCATGGCGCAGGAAAAACAGTGATTGTCATCTTCAGAGAAAGGGACGTGGCAACCTTCTAACTCGCACTCAGCGAGGTGGAACCCCGAGGATGCGTTCATGGGGTTCAAAGAGCCCCAATGGAGTTTTCCAGGGCCTTTAGGATGACTGCTAAGGGAATTCCAGGCAAAGTACCACTAACCGGCCCAAACTTCCGATAAAGCAACTAAAGGCGAACCCCCTGCAACACGTACAATCACAGGGGCCTCGCAGGGGGACCACCATAATAATAGTGGGTGGACAACGACTGAGGGGCAGACTTCCACCAGGCAAAACAATCAAAAGAAAAAGAAACCTCCTGTAAAAGCACAATGTTCCCAGGAGGAACAGAACCGGCCGCTGTGTATTATGGAAGAGATGCTGTACAATATCTTGCAGAGGCTCAAGTAATGGTACCAGTTATATAACCCCCACCTACCCAACGCCAAACAGTGGCTATGAAAACCCCAGCTGACCCCAAGGGCGGACAATTGCCGAGCAGCAAAAGATCCCTACGGAGGTAGATCCCGAACTACTTGTGGAAGGCAACTCCAAGCCGCTAGGACAGTACTTACAGGGCACCTAGAGAAGGTGGCCCTAGGCACATGCAGCCCCAGTACTCCATGAATTACTCCTGGGTCACACACCACCACACAGCAGAACAACACCGCAAAGGTACAGCACTGCACAGAGTCAGGAGCCAGAGTCGAATGACTACCACCTAACACAATAGCCTCAGAACTGTGGTTGGATAGCCAGTGCAGAGGGTCTAGGCCCCTTCCCCTTCTCCCTCCTGGGGAGGGGGGGGTGCACAGACAGGCAACGCAGTGGCGGATGTGATGTCGTGCTTGTTTTCAGATTGGGGAGTTCTGCTTAGCAGTTTGGCTTTCGGTAGCAATGATTTACCACTTGGGGTATGTTTTGGGACACCTACCATTCTGAGGGGTGCCTAACCTGGTCAATGGCAGATATAGAATGCTTCCAACCACATGGGAGTTTCTATAGGCCATTGCTCGTTGTGCCTCTCTGAGGGGGGCCATGTTCTGGCTCGTGGTCCCCAGTAGGTATTAGAATTCCATTCGAAGGACTGTTGTCACGGTCTAATACTTGCATATCAGCCCGGTGAGCTCCAGGGAGCTGGAGAGGCTCTCCACAGAAAAGATATTATGAGCCAAAGGGGAAAATTGGAAAATTTCTTCTATGCATTCCAATTGCCTACTACCCATACAGGGAATGAAAACACCCTTACATCTCTTTGACTCAATTACATGTCCCGCTTCCTTGTCCTACTCTATATTTTATTTAAATAAAGTGGATAAAGGCTTCCTTTATCCTCTTCTATCCTCTAAGGTTGTGAGGCACGTACAACGTTCTCTCAACCTGTCCTCATAGCTGAGGCCTCTCAATTTTGGTATTATTCTAGTGGCGAATCTCGGAGGTCCACGGTTGTTCAACATCCTCCCAGCGAGTATAAGAAATATTGCCGAAACAAAAGTGGATGTCTTCAAGAGAAAAGTGGATAGATTTCTTAAAGAAGTGCCGGACCAACCAGACTATGGAGGATATGTGGGCCTGCGGGCCGTTCCAACCAACAGCCTGTTGGACCAAGCTCTTGCAAATAAAGCAAGGCTCAGGATAGGCTTGGAGAGTAGGACAACTCCCAGAACCCATCCAGGTATAAACTTCTGAACTTTCTCAAGTTTCTATTTATTCTTCACAAGGTGTGGGTTCCATGCTGGAGCTGCATATTCAAGTAATGGTATCACATATGCAGTGTGTATGGATGTTGAAGCAAAACAAGTCTCCCACATCTGATGTGATCCATTTGTATGGAGTAGTCTCAGGGAGTCACAGAGGGGCTTCCTCAGAAAAAGAACAGATGGCTATTAGATCATCTGGAATTTCTTTAAAAAGGGACCATCAGTTCCCATTTTGATCCTGCCTGGAAAAGGGCCCAATTTTCCTGGTCATGTTACTCATAATGGACCAAATTCCAGGAATTCTGTTCTTTTGGAATGTTTTGCTGCCCACTTTAAGTATCTGACAACTTCACCTTTCTACTTTAGCTACGGTACAGGCAAAAGGTTTTGTGTAGTTTATCAGCAACTTGGTTCCTATATATTTTGTATTTAGTTTTTTAGCACATCTTTCTATGGCTGTTGCGGGGAATATTGATGAATGTTGCAGGTTGGTTGTTGTGTAACTTCTTATTTCTGTTGCAAATTTTTGCTTAATATTTTGTAATATTTCACTTGAAGGTTTAATTTGTTGCTTTTGGTGATCTTTTTAATATGCTTTTGCATGTTTACTGACATACTGTGCACATCTTTATATCCTTGCATGACTTAGTAATGGAACTTCGAGGCATTAGAGTGGACAAGGAGGTATTGAAGCAGAGGGGACATATGCTCAAGGTAGGAAATGGCTTATTCTAATATTATGGAAATACATAAAGAGCTACATGTAATAGTAACATCTCGGTAATGTATTGTCACTCATTAATTAATCTGACTGAGTCATGGTCGGAGGGTCGGCCGAGAGGGACAGCACGCTGGACTTGTGATCCTGTGGTCCTGGGTTCGATCCCAGGCGCCGGCGAGAAACAATGGGCAGAGTTTCTTTCACCCTATGCCCCTGTTACCTAGCAGTAAAATAGGTACCTGGGTGTTAGTCAGCTGTCACGGGCTGCTTCCTGGGGGTGGAGGCCTGGTCGAGGACCGGGCTGCGGGGACACTAAAGCCCCGAAATCCTCTAAAGATAACCTAAAGAAGATGGTATTATTTTTATTTATTTATATATTTATTTATATATGTACAACAAGGTCCTTTGGTTTATGAGAGTACATAGGATTGATGTTTTTACATTCTTGAAAAGCCACTAACATGCATAGCATATCGGGCAGGTTCTTAAACTAATAGACAATTTTAAGGAGATAATTTGTAGAAAAATTTGAAGAATGTTAACAGATTCGTTGTAAGACAATTAATTAATAAGTATTTTACAGTAAAATTTGAGAATTCTTAACAGGTACATTGTAGCATAATTTGAGGATTAGTTCTAGATAGTTCTAGGTACTAGTGGCTTTAAAATATTGTAATTACTATATTATGTATCCTCACAATCCCAATGTACCTTCTTGTGTGTATATATATATATATCAATAAATAACTGAAAACTCACCCCAGAAGTGACTCGAACCCATACTGCCAGGAGCAACGCAACTGGTATGTACAGGACGCCTTAATCCACTTGACCATCATGACTGGACATGAGGTGATAGCCGAAGCTATTTGAACCACTTCCCCACCAGCACTCGGATGGTAATCTTGGGCATAGTATTTTATCAAATCACCTCATTCTTTGGGGCAACCGTGAGGAACACAAATGCGAACAAGCCTGAATGGTCCCAGGACTATATGCAACTGGAAACACACACCCCAGAAGTGACTCGAACCCATACTGCCAGGAACCGCAACCAAACACAACACATGATGCACCCCCGGCCTGACCAACCAAGCGTCAGCAACCCAAGGACTTCTCCGGAAAACAGCCGAATCAGTCTTTGCCAGAAAGAGATGGCTGCAAGCGAACAAACTTATCATGAGGACCAAAAGAGCAGAAACCCATATGCTGGAGTAGAGCATGAAGCACCCGACCTGACCCCCAGAGGCCAAGGCCAACAAGAAAAGATCTTCGGAAAACAATCCAGAACTGAAGGGGCCACAACAAACTGAGGCGAAGAGAAGAGAGCACCTAAGCCAAGAACCAGATCGACTCAAGTGGCCCAAGAGCAGGCCGGAGGTGAACCACGCCAGCGACAGCTTGTGAATTGGTGCAGAGGGAATATCAAAACCGAAGCTATCCGGAGTGGCTCTGCCAGCGCAGCACGAAACAAAGTGACAGTATGTGGCAAGATGACGGCCCAGAACCTCCACAAGAGAAGGATAAAACCACGCCAACAAAATGCAGCAAACCTATGAAGGGACAAAAAGAAAAAAGAAAGGGCTGCCAAAAAAATCCACACCGCCACCAAGATGAAGCACGCAGGTGGGACACCATCAATGATGCCACCTGAACACCAACAGATGGCGAGACTCGAGGCAGAACCGAACCAGCCCCACAATGGACCAATCGAGCAGAGGAAGAGGCGGGATCAGGAACACGTCAACTGGCAGGGTAAGCCAGGAAACCAGGAACCCAAACCCGGCAAGCTGGGAAAGAACCAACCCTGGCGAGCAGAGACTCTCAATCCGGGAGGAATCCCCCGGGTCCCCAGAAGGACCAACAAGTCCGACAACAAATGACAACTAGAAGCCGCCAGCAGAAAAATGCCAAACCACAGATGCCGCAAACAGCAAGGACAAAATTGCGACAAAAAATTAAAAGCCAGGGCAAAGTCCGAGGCCAACGAGGAAGCGAGGACTGTGAGCCAAAACACAAAGCGAAAAACAGGGACACCGCATCCTGCAGGAGTGGCGAAAGCAGCCCCAGCAGGGCAGAACGAAGCACACGATGCCGAGTAAGGTATGAAAACTAACCAGGACGTGAACAGCACGAAAACAAGGCTGTTTTTGAGGTCATTGGAGGCTGGCCTTGTGTTGGACTCACAGCATGGTGTGAGAGTTTATGGCGGTGTGACAGGCACTACGGTGGATTCGGATTCCTTGGGGCTCGGTGATCCGGCTTCATTCAGACTTCTCCCCTCGTGCTTCATTGTCTCAACTGCAGGGGATTCCTTTGGTTTATGGCTCTTTGGGGCTGGTTGCTTCGGGTGGCTCTTCTGCTTAGTCCTTGGGGTTTAGTTCTTTGCGCTGTTCACATTCAGGGAGTGTCCAACGTTCTGGCAGATAACTGTCGCATTTCATTCCTCTTTCCACAGAGCGGACCATTGATGCCGCCTCTTTCCTTTGGTTTTGCTGGACGTACAAGTGCCCAGAGGTGAACCTCATCGCGTCGGCGTAGTCTCGGTTTCTCCTCTTGTACGTGGTGCCATCCTCCGACTACAAGGCCGAAGCGGTAGATGCTTTTTCGGCAGGACTGGTCGAGGTGGGGGTTCCAGTACCTCTTTTTCTTGGTCCAGCTGTTTCTGCAAGTCCTAGCTTGCTTGGATTCCTATTGGGGGGATGGTGATTCACCTGGCTCCATGGTGGCCGGCCCAGCCTTGGTTTCAGGTACTGCTTGCTCAGTGTCTGAACCCAGACGTTTTTCTTTGACTCTGCCTCCTCCTGCAGATCAGGCGAGTGAGGTTCCTCACTGGCCAGTAAGGCGCATTGTTCCTGGTGCGCCTTACTGCTCTGCACTAAGTGTTTGGTATTTTCTAACGTGTGTGTATCACCATATATATGGTGATATATATCACCACCATATATATATCACTATATATATGGTGATCAGGTGGCTTCTTTGATTGTGTCCCACCTGTGGTCTTCTTCTCGGCAACAGTATGAAGTTTCTTGTCGATCTTTCCATCTCTTTCTCTCTCTTCAAAGCTTTTTATCAATTTTGGACTGAGTTGTTTTGTTCTTTTTCTCTAGGCTAATTCTGGATCGGCATCTCATGCCTAATACTGTCACTTCTTATTACATGGCGTTGGCGGAGCTGTTCTAGCTTGCATTCAGGATGGATGTGGCTTCCGCTCCGTTCCGCAAGCTTTCATGTGTATTTCTGGGGGAGCCCCATCGGCTCCCCGGAGCTTTCCTGGATGATATGCTAATGTCAGACTTTTGGCATCAGTCATGTGTATGGAGTTCTATGGACCTACTGGGGACCACGAGCCAGAACCTGGCCCCCCTCAAATGAGGCAAGGGGAGCAATGGCCTATAGAAACCTCCGTGTGGTTGGAAGTATTCTATGTCTGCCATCGGCTGGGAAAGGCACCCAGAAAGGTAAGCGTCTCAAAACAAACGCCTATTCTGGTGAAAATTGCTACCAAAAGCCGAATAAGTGGATAGAACTCCCCAAAAGAAACAAGCAAACAAGCATGACATCACACGTTGCTGTGCCGCTGTCTCCGCAGCTCCCTCCTCCCCGGGAGGGGGAAGGGGGAGCCCCAGACCCCGTGCTGGCTATCCACCCTTCAGTTTTAAGGCTGATGCTAGAGGCGAAGATCGTGTGCTCCGGCTCCGGTGGTTGTTTCAGCCCTGTACCTAGTGTGTGGTGACTGTCTGCTAGGTAGTGCATGAGCCACGAGTGATTCTCCAGTACTCGGGCTGTATGCGCGCCTAGGGTTTCCTTCCCTAGGTGCCCTGTAAATACTGCTCTTGAAGCTTGGAGCCACCTTCGACAAGTTCCTTGGGTTCTGCCTCTGCTAGGCCGTTTACTGCTTGGTTTTCGGCCGCCCTTTCTGTGCTAGGGTGTTCTGTCTCCCTTGTTTGCCTTAGGGTAAGGGGCAGTTTGCACTGGTAGAGGCACAGGGTACTGCGCAACTTGTTTCACCAATCGTAGTGGCCGGCTCTGTTCCGCCTAGGTAAGCTGTCCTCTTGCGGAGTTTTCGTTTACTTTTTATCTGCCTGCCTGGTGAGGGGGTCTGCGTTGGTTGTTTCCCCCTTGTGTACTGAGTACTCTTCCTTCTTCCGGTGGTTCCCCCTGCTAGGTCCCCGTGAGTGTACGCGTCCCCGGGGGTTCAGTTCTTAGAAGGTTGTTTGGTAGACATGGGTGCCAGTTTGCAGTACCCTGCCTGGGCTTCCTTGAGCGTGATTTCCGTCTCAGGACCCTGGGAATCTCCACGGGGACGCGTGGGTCTGATGGATGTGACTTCTTGAGACCTGTGGTACTGCCACCTCCTGGATAAGTCCCTCCTTTTACTTATCTCTGGGCACTTAGCTTCAGGGAGCTGACAGGACTCCCCACAGAAAACCAGCATTAAATGTAATGAATGCCATTTTCAGGGTGAGCCTTGAAGGCTCCCTGATGCCCTTCCTTCCTTTGGGTGGTGGTTTTTCATCGTTCAAGAACTGGAGTTGTGGGGTGCCGGCTCCCCCTCCCCCGTTAACGAGCACAAGTGGTAGTCGCAGGAATGGTTGCTTGTTTAGTTTCTCTCTAGGGAAGTTATTTTGATCTTTTGGGATGTAGATTACACAGGGTAATCAGACAGTGGTCAGTTTTGATTCGCCTACCTATTGTGGGTCCTTTCCCACTTGTTGACAATTATGTCATACTTCAAATGTAAAGAGCTCATAGGCTATTGCTCCATGTGCCTCTCTAAGGGGGCCAGGTTCTGGCTTGTGGTCCCTGATAGGCATAAGAACTCTTGTGACTGATGACCCCAAACTAATATAGCACACATCAGTTCGGATGGCCCTAGGGAGCCTGTGAGGCTCGCCCAGAAAATGGTGTTTCATTATATTCAACGCTGCTTTTTATTTTTATTTTGGGTATAAATATTTTTGTTCCTTCATCATATATTGCACAAAACTTGGCATATATCTCATTTACTTCCTTGCCTAACAGCATTTCTTTGCAATCAAATTCATTAAAGAACTTACTTAGTTCTTACTAAGCTTGATTTTGCATATATGAAAAAATATTTTGGATTTTTCTTCATCTCTTGTATAGCTTTCTGTTCCAATTCCATTTCCTCAGACTCGTATGATCGCTTCAATGTTTGTTCCATTTCTTCAATCTCCCTGTTTAGGTTTATTTTCCTTGCTTGTGATAGTCGTGTCTGCCTAATAGTGTCTGTCTGCCCATAGTGTCCTCTACTGAAATCAAGTTTTTCAACTGTTTCATTTTCCTCATTCTCTTCTAGATTATGTGCATTGCATATTTCCAAAAGGTCATGATCACTCTTACCCAAGGGAGGAAGGTACTGAATATCAAATATCTCCTTCTTTTATGGTGAATATCAGATGTATATCAAGGAATATCATTTAAGGAACATCTTCTCTTATTGTCGTTGGTAATTTAACGTGTTGATATATGAATGTTTCTAGGATGAGGCTTACTAACGTCAGTCCAAAAGATCTCTGTCCTTGCTTCGTAGGCTTATTAATCTATGGATTTCAAGTTGAAGTCTCCAAGTATCAACAATTGTGATCTGTCTTTATCTTCCCTTACTATAATCTCTCTCATGATTGTTATGAAACCCTCTCATTTGTCATTCAGGTCCTCCTTTGTCCGTGTATTGCTTGCTGGTGGACTGTAGGCATTTATGATTATCAGTTTATCATCCTGATTACAGATCTCCAGTGCTATTATGGAGCAGCCTCACTGAGCTAGCGTCCAGAAGCCACCCTTCAGCTCCCTCATTAGTGTTACATACTGCTTGTGTCAAATTGCTGTGAAATAGGCAATAAATTTATTTTATGTTATGATTCCACAAGTAGTTAAAGTAAACTTTTTTTAAAACAGCTTAAAATTCAAGAGGTTGAGAAGCGTTGCCACCAAGTCTCGGGCTCGGTGTTTAACGTGACCTCCCATGCTCAGCTGAGGACTGTCCTATACCAGGAGCTGAAGCTGGACATTAAGAACAAAGTGGTGGTCCCTCGTACTGCTGCTGGACAGAAGAGTACAAGTGAAGTTGCAGTGAGTCAATTGTTCTCTTACTTTTTTACTTAGAAAAAGCAATTGGATTAGTTGAAAAATAATAAATAATGAAGTTGCATGGGTACAGGAAGACCTTTGAAGTATTGCATATTTTATTGTAATTTTTGAATTATGAATAGTGGAGTGGCAACATAAAATTCTTTGGATAATTTTACATGATACTTTTAATTTTTTTCTATAAAAGACTAATAATAATAGTTATACCAGCCATACATTCATCACATGATCTATACACGTTCGTTCCATGACAGAAAATCTTTTTGAATCCTAGCAATATTAGAATACAGTATTAGCTTCTGTATTTAAAACAAATACAGTAAAGTCATAAGGAATTAGTTTTTAGTTTTTTACTGAATTGATATACGGGAGCAGTAATAAGTTGCCCATTCATTGAAGATGCTTTTCTCATATACTATTACTGAACCGTTAAAATAATACTTTAATATATGATAATACTTTATAGAAAAATAATACTTTAATATATAAGAGAGAGAAATCCCAGACAAATTAGATACAGAGCACCACCTGGTTTCTGAAACCCTTGGGGACGAGACCCGTCGGTTATCGTGTAAGTTCGTAAACGAGAAATGGAGGAAAATTGAGAGAAAAATATAATAAACAAAAATTAAAATAAAAAACAAATCTAAGGGAAATAATCGACAGGTTCATAGCAAAAATGTGACAGTATTTTGTTTGCACTCACCAATAAGAGAAGTTCTGATCCACTTCTCCCTCAGGAGAGGTGGGAACAAAGAGCCAGAGCTCAACCCCACAAGTACAACTATGTACACCCTCACTGCTGCTGGTCTCCGTTACTCCCTCCAAAGTGGCTAGCTTAGTAGATTGCCAACCAGAAAATCTCCATCTAATACAATAAAGCATTCATGAAACAAGTATTTCTATAACTTTTTATTATCCTAATAATATTACTAAACTAAATCTCTAACCAAATATATATATATATGATGATGTACATCCAGAATTTAAGAAACAAATCTGGCTAATGGAGTTGAGTGTGTTAGGGTAATCGGAGTGAGCCAGCCAGCCGTCCGGCCGGCCGCCATCACTGATGCAATGCGTGCATTTGGAGCCAACATGGTGCACAGATGTTCCTTGATTGTGCAGATATGTAAAACAAAATCACAGAATGAACACTCCAGCCTCGTGACATATCATAATAATAGGAACAATAGGCCGGGAATCTGTGAAGTCACAGGGTAAAAGGCATTCTAGAGTGGTGGCACCCGTCATGGTCAGTGGGCAAACTGGACCATCTCCCATCCACCCACCACCCCGGGCTGGCGCGACGCTTGACGGACCTCTTCCTACCTGAACTTGGTTCGTGTAGAGTGACTTTCAGCCCCAATCGGGAAACTAGATCTTTCGGATAACTAATGTTCGGAAACCAAGTGGTGCTCTGTATAAAACTTTCAGAGATAAACTTAAAGTGAAGACAATATTGGCTCAGTTGCTAATTTTAAGTTTGTTGAAGGGCTTCCCCAGTAGTTTGCCGATGCTAGTGCACTGAGATTGCTGTGCCCATGTGAATGGCACCAGGCCTCTTGAGACCCACTCTAGCCTCTCAGGAGCCAGGACCAGAATCTGGCACTCTATAGAATTTGTTGCCCTGACTAAAGCAATGAATAATAGTTATCTATTTATAAAATGTGGCCCATTTTCAGCAGTGGTGCCATCAGTTATCACACTGCCCAAGAAACTGTGATGATTTATATTTGGAATGCTTATGTTGGTACTGGAATATAAAATAATGTAGGTGACCAGTCCTGTTTCATAATCACAGAGTTCAAGAATTTCAGTCTAAATCTGTGGCATTTGGATAGGGTGTACTGCTTGAAGGCAAGATGTCCTTTGAAAAACACAAGTGATCTGTCAATCTCCAGTTACCGATCTGGTGTGCAGAAATCTTTGTACAGTGGACCCTTGATTTGGCAAATCTCCAGTTAGGATGTACTCTTTCCAGACCGGATTTACTCTTCCAACATGACGAACTCTGGTTCGCCAAAATGCGGGATGTGCAGATATGCTTATTGACCTCAATGCCTGGGCTTCTTGCAGGGCACATACCCTGCAGTGGTTAGCTCCCTTATACCCCAGGGGACTCGGTTGTACTTGGGTACCTCTTCCGAGCTAGCTCTCTCCTTGTGCGACTTTGAGGGTTGTTAGTCACCTGTGCCACCTGGTGATGCTCATTCATTCTGCCTCTAACATGCTGCTTGTTGGGTTGGTGACAACTACAACTCTGAGTCATGTGGGACTTGTTCCACCTCATGTACTCAACACCCTTTCCTCGAAGGATATTCCGAGGTATCAAGCAGCAGTTATGTTGCATCAGCATAGTGTGTTGCATCGTGCTAGGTTGTAATTACCTATTTGTAATTACCTAAGTGTAGTTACAGGATGAGAGCTATGCTTGTGGTGTCCCGTCTTCCCAGTACTTTTTGCCATATAACACATTGAAACTGCTGTCAATGTTGGCCTCTACCAACTTAGCTTGTTCCAACCGTCTACTACTGTTTGCAAGAAAAAAATACTTTCAAATATTTTTTCGATACCTTTGTTTCCTTAGCTTGAATTTGTGTCCTCTTGTTCGTGAAGTTGCTGGTTTCAGGAATTCCTGTGTCAATTTGGTCAATTCCTGTTATTATTATGTAAGTGGTGATCATATCACCCACCCCTCTCTTATATTTTCTAACTTTGGCATATTTAGCTAGAGTGCCTGTATCCTCACCTCACTCATGTTTTTCAGTTCTGGAAGCTATTTTGTAACATGCCTTTGCACCTTTTCCAGTTTATTAATGTGCTTCTTGAAATATGGCCATCATACAACTACTGCATATTCCAATTTTGGTCTAAAAACAAATCATGAACAGTTGCTTTAGTGTGTCACCATCCATGTAGTTAAAAGCAAGTCTGAAGATGGAAAGTGATGCATACGTTCCTCGCACAATGTTCTTTGTGTTCCTCTGGTGACAGTTTACTATCCAAATCCATCTATAAATCCCATTCTTTATTAGAGTTCTTGAATACCTTTCCACATAATTTGTAAGTTGTGTGTGGTCTATTTTCTCCGATTCCACATTCCATAACGTGACATTTATTCACAGTCAATTCCATTTGTCACAATTTGCTCTAAGCACTTACTTCATCTAGATCCATTTACCGTGTGAGTGTGCCTGGTTGGATGCTCTGGATCTGCTCCGCTTGGTGTTTGGGCCTTGGGGGGTGGGGTGTTGGTCGTTTTTGCTCTGGTTCTGTCTGCGCCCCCTCTTCCTTCTTAGTTGGGTAGAAGTTTTTCCAGCTCCGAAGGATGCCTCTTCTGATTCCGATGCAAAAGCAGTTGAGAAACTCCCTCATTTCAGAGGTCTTTTCTTGGGCTCTGCTTCGTCTTTCCGTGCAGGGGGGGGGGGGATGTAGCCCGTCCTCCTAAGGTTTCCCAACATCAAGAATATGGTCTAATTAAAGTGTCCTGTCCTAACCTATCAGAGGACCCAAACCCAAAACAGAAAACGGACTCTGTCACTTTCACGAGCCACTTCTATTTTCAAGTATTGTGCAACAATTTTTGACCTTATGCAATGCATACAATCGAAATGGGATGATCTTTGTAAGAGGACAGGTTGGTGGATAAGAGCTCTGCCTCCAGGGCTTTTGCTGACTGTTCCTGGGGCTCGGGGGGGATTCTGTTTAAAGCTCTTGAACTCTATTTAACCTCCACATGGGCTCTTGTGTCCTCTGCACTGTGTCTGCTTTTGTTGGATATGGGGTTTTTGTATCCCCCTTCCCATTGATTTTGAATTGGGTGGGCTTTCCCTAGGGGTTCATTTCTGGGCTCCTTTGGGCTCCCCAGATTCACATTTCCATAGGTTTCCTACCTCTTATATTTCCCCTTCAGAGGTTCTTGAGGCCCTCGGTGCTTACCTTCTGACTCGGTTTACACCTCGGTGATGTTCCGGCCTCTTTTGAGTTTGGATCTTCTTCCATTTTTTGGGTGAGTTACGAGGTTCCAGAGTCATTCTGGCTAATGGACTGCATGTTATTTTTGCTTGAGGCTTGATGCAACTTTGTCATTCCCGCATGCTTGAGTGGTAGGTGGTGTCCTCTGAGTATCAGGTGTTTTGGGGGGTTCTCATAAGCTCCTCAATGACGGCCTTTTTTCTCCTGCCCTTCCCCATGGCATGGGTCTGGGCAGTTGCACCCTCGGGTTCCCTTTCTTTCGGGGTGCCTTAGTGGCTGAGGACTTTCATACTCATACGCACTTGGCCTCTGTTGTGCGTTTCTTCAGCCTTCTGGAGCTGTCTTTGGATTGGCTTTTGGAGGATGTGGGGTTGCTTAGTTGGGGATCCTTTTGTCAGGGTCTTTGTTTTGGCTGCTTAGGCATTGATTGTCTTCTGAATCTGTATGCACAGATCCTCTGGGAAGCAGTTTTAATTTTCTTTACATCCCATCTCACATTTAGGCAAGCTGGGCTGGCTGTTTCTTTGGATTCAGCATGGGCCCCTGGCTTTCTTTTAAGGTTTCTCATTTTGTCCTTTGCTCTTTACCGAGGATTGTCACTCAGTTTTTGTCGGAGGGATAGTCTAGTTCCCGTCCTTTTTCTGACTGGTTGAATGTCAAAGGGTGTCGGTCTAAGCCTTCTCAGAAGGGTCAGGTCATGGCTCAGGCTGCATTGGGTCAGGATATAAGCCCATGGTGTCAGCAGCTGGATCAGCGGTGGTGCCCTGGTGCTGTCTTCATCTGATCAGCGAGATGCTTGTTCTGTGCAGTGGTCTGACTCGATGGAGGGGAAGCCGACTCTGTTTGCCCGCGCCTGGTCCCACGATTCGTGGGCATTTCGGATTGTGTCACACGGCCTCCGGTGGCGTTGGGCAGTCTTTCCCCCTTCTAGCAGGTTTGGTCTTGTGGGGGCAGGCCTTTTCTCCTTCCATCTGTCGGGTCATCTCGGAGTGGGTTTGCCTATGCATGGTCTAATCGACCTCATTTCTTCAATGGGCTTCCCGCCTATTCCAGTCCCACAATGGGACTGTGTGGATCTCTGGTACATTCTGGATTTGCCTTATCTGAACCAGTTGATTCCTTGCCCCTCCTTTCAAATGACTACGTGGTACCAGATCCACAAATTCAAATGAATACGTGGTTCGTTCTCAAATCGGGCACTTGTTTGATTCCCCTGGTCCTCATGGACACGTTTTGGCATCTCTCTCTCCCCATCCAGGCCTTCGGGTCTTGGCCGACCTCAATGACTGGTTGGTGTTGTCTGCTAGCCAGAGATCTGGTTCTTTCCCACCTTGTCAGGTTCTGGTTCCTGGTGACTTGGAGGAAGTGCCAGTTGGTTTCATCCCAGGTTCAGACCTGGTTGGGTCTCGTTAGGGATTCTCGGACAGAGTCGCTTTCCGTTTCCCCTGAGGCCTTGCTCTGGCTGTGGTCCTGCCAGAGGCTGCAGCTGAAGGGGACCTGGGTGCCTCAGCGGTTGCAAGAGCGGTGGCATGGGAGATTGATCTTTGCCTTTCTGGTTTATCTGTTATGCAGGGTTTCGGCCCTGATACTGTTTTGGTATTTTCAGAGCAGCGCTCTCGCCGCTCTCACGATTGCTGGGGCCGGCCCCCCCGGTTTCCCTTTTCAGTTGCTGTGGGTAGCTCTTCGCGCTGTTCGTGTTCTGGGCATATCCAATGTCTTGGCAGACTGTCTCACTTCATTCTCCTTTCCATGAAGTGGAGAGTCTGTGCCAGTTCTTACCTTTGGCTTTGCCAGACAGTAGGGTGCCCAGATGTGAAACTCTGTGTCGGCATGGTCCTGGCGGCTTCCTCTGTACATGGCACCTGTACTTTGGTACAGGCATTGATTTTAGGTGCTGCTTTCACAGTGTCTGAACCAGTGTTTTCTGCGGTTCTGCCTTTCTCAGCAGTTCAGGAGGGTGAAGTTCCCCACTGGTTCGACCTTCTCTTCTGCCTTCCGCATCTGGACATTCTGATGCATATTTGTCACCATTTTGTATGGTGATCAGGTAGCTGGTTGATGGTGTTGCACCTGCGGTTTTCTTCTCGGTGACAGTATGTGGTTTCTTGGCGGGCTTTTCACCATTTTCTCTTTCCTGCATTTTTCTGGGTTTTGTCCTTGCCTAACTTTTCTGTGGGAAACCTCTTCGGCTCCCTGGAGCTATTGGACTGATATTAACTAATATTAGTATGGGGCTTCAGTCATTAGTACGGGAGTTGTCATGCATACTGGAGACCACTAGTTAGAACATGGGAACCACAAATGTTAGAACATAGAACTCAGAGAGGCGCACCCTGGAAACACAAACCCTTACTGTCTCTATTTTCCGCTTGTTACAACTTGTAATAAAGTTGATACATCTTGGCTTAACATGTTTATGACGTATTAGAATGTTGTTACAACTTGCTATATTGGTTGTTATAACTGGTTAGGAGGTGTTAAAACTTGTTCGAACGTTGTACCAATGTCGTAGTTTCAGTGTGTGTTTGGCGGGCAGGGAGCAATTGCTTATGAAACTCTCCTGTACCTACCTAGTTGTGAGGTAAGTACAGGAGCATTTTTTAAACCATTACTCCCTGTGCATCTCTGAGGGAACCATGTTCTAACTAGTGGTCCCCAGTAGGCATGACAACTTCCATACTGATGACGGGATGAAAGTATGAAAGTATCCTTTCATACAGTATCCTGTATTCATTCATGTATTCATGTCTGCCATCAACTGGGGTTAGACACCCAGAAAGGTAGGTACCCCACACACCCCAACTGGTAGGAAAAATGCAACCATAGACCAAACAAAGAAAAGAGCCCACTGAGCCAGCCCCTGGACCATTAGTTTGTCCACTTAAGCTAAACAGGGTGGACGTCTACTCGGGTCTCAGTTGCCTGACAGGCTTTTCACCCTGCTAGTGTTCCTGCTGTGCATTGGTGATTGGTAGGGTGGTTGTAAGTTTCCATTCCCGTAGGGTAGTGGCTGCTTGACTTAAGTGTGATGTTTGCTTGTTTCCTTGGGATTGTAGAGTTTCTACCTCTGTTCAGTTTTCTGTTTTAGTTTTTTACCATGTGGGGTTTGTTTTGTTATGCCTACCTTTCTGGGTGCCTAACCCCGGTCGATGGCAGATGAGGAAAACCCCAACCACAAGGGGATTTTCCAGGGCCATTGCTCCCTGAAACCTCTCTGAAGGTGCCAGGTTCTGGCGCTGGTCCCTGGTAGGTCTAAACTCCTTAGCTAATGTCCCGGTCTAATATAACATACATTAGCCTGATATACTCTAGCGAGCCTCCGGAGCTCACCCAGAAAATGGAATTTCATTACATTTAATGCTGGTTTATTTTGGATTGCGTTCTCCTCTGGTGGTCGGGTTGGTAAGCTTGATGCTCTACTCCGGCACTGGGGATTTTGTTGTTTTGGTCCTGGTGGCCGTTTTGTTTGGTTGCAGCCTGTTCCTTTTTTTCTGGCGAAGACAGATGCCAGGCTTCTGGAGGGGCCTTAAACATAATGCGAAACACAATCAAATCTGCCCATACAGTAGTAGGAAAGCAACATGTAAAGGATTTGGGAATAATGATGTCTGACGACCTAACGTTTAGGGAGCATAACAAAGCAAATATTGCATCAGCCAGAAAGCTGACAATATACACACAAGGGCCATCATGAGGGTTCGAACCTACGTCCGGGATGATCCCAGACACGCCTTAGTCGATTGCGCCACTACATGGTCAAAAGAATTGCAACCAGGAGTGCTACTGCCCTCACGCGGATCCCGCAGCCTCTCTGAGACACAAATTGGGAATTAAGCAAACTGGCAATCGTGGCGCAATCGACTAAGACGCATCTGAGATCATCCCAAATGTAGGTTCAAACCCTCATCACAGCCCTTGTAGATTTGTTGATTTGATGTATCATGCTATTGTGATTTCTGTGTGTATTTACTCTCGATTGTGTGGTCGTGGCATCTGGCAGGCCAGCATGAGCCTCAGAGGCTTGATTTAATTCTTACTGATTGGCTATAGGAGTGCATAAACTCTGGGGTGCTACCGAGGGCCCACCAGAAAACGGCATTCATTTTATTCAGCTCATGAATTTTTTAGACTCGTATTTTGTTTTTTCATACACAGCCAGATGACAGTTTTGTTTAAAAGTTTTGACCTAAAAATTTTATATATTGCATATTGTACTTGCATTGGAGGTTACAGTATCTCATACTTCACTCTAGTTAAAAAAAAAGTAATATAAATTTTCTTAGGACTATAATAATTTCTTTATATTTACTGTTTCTAGTTAAAATTACTCTCACAAATTTTGCTTGTGTTCTCAGTTGGGTCGTCTGGTGGGTTTCCATCCTCTGCCAGAACTTGTGCTGCATCATCGCCTCCTTAATAAACTTAAAACAACTTACATTGATGGCATTATGGCATGTGTGCAGGGATCCTATATTAAAGCTGCCTGGTGAGAAGCCTTTTAGAAATAATACAATTGCAAAATAAGTACTAAAGATGAATTTTAAAAAGCTAGATAGATTTAAAGATCATTATTGATTTGTTTTAGCATTTGTTTTAAAGTAATTTTGAGATAAGGATGCAACATCATTCCTCATCACAACATAGATGAAGCTCCCTGCTTGAACTTCTTGACATTTGTTAACACTGCGAATGTGTGTCAATCGGGGACAGTTGCTTAATTTCTGACCCCACTTTGCAGGTCCTTGAGGAACTCTTTAACCACTGCACTGCTATGCATTAAAATATGACAAACCCCATGGTGTGCAGCAAATAAATTCTTTGCAAAAAATTATTTTCTCCTCTGATATTGTTAAAATGTGGTCTCTGATCACAGGAAACTAAAAAAAAATATTGTATGTGACATTTTAATGTGATGGAGCTGGGAAGTTGAGCAAATTATCGGCGCTGAGCGATGGAGTGCTGGGGGGGTCAGTCGACCCCGCCACCCTTTGGGATGGCAGTTGCCGCGAATATAATGTTTCACAATTATTTTGATGTTTTCATTCGTTTCTTCTCTGGTTTTTGCTGTAATATCATTCAAAAGTGTGTAATTTGTGAAATTTATATAGTTCACCGTATGGAATATCGCTATCCTCAAAACTATGGGGCTCATATATGTGACATGTATATTATATTCTATAATCAATCAGTGTTTTTGCTGTTATTACACTATATACGAATATTGTACATACCTATCAACATGTGTGTTCACCATAACGAACCACTAAGTTGGTATACTGAGACTAAAACAACAAGAGTGGCCACGATACAGCAGTCTGCTGGCTGACTCCCTCCCACCTTCAACACCCACTGACCAACATTCCACCTCCCACTACACATGTTATATATAAGTATCTACATGTTTCATTCACCATAACTGTACAACTAAGCTAGTACTTATGATGAGGTAAGGCAATAAGAGAGGTCGCGCCACACACACTCAGCCTCCCTCACTTGTTCACCATAACTGTACAACTAAGCTAGTACTTATGATGAAGTAAGGCAATAAGAGAGGTCGCGCCACACACACTCAGCCTCCCTCACTTGTTCACCATAACTGTACAACTAAGCTAGTACTTATGATGAAGTAAGGCAATAAGAGAGGTCGCGCCACACACACTCAGCCTCCCTCACTTGTTCAAGGCCAAATACACTAACATTCCTCCCACAACCATATTGTTTGTGGTGTTATTACACTTTATATATACACACATTATATATAAGTATCTACATGTTTTATTCACCATAACTGTACAACTAAGCTGGTATGGTGTCCAAACAACATAGTGGCCACTGCATTGACAAGTCACACAACAGGTAGCAGACGACAGCCTCACCCACTCCCTCACTAAAATGGTTCCTCCCAACAAACTCATTTTGCTGTTATTACACTCTATACACACGTTATATATATAAGTATCTATATTTGTGTTCATCATAAGGAACGCACTAAGCTGCTATGGTGGTTCCAGATAATAACATGTTACCACATGCCAGCATACAACACTATCTCCCTCCCTTACCAACAATACTACTCCTCTCACAGTGCTAATTCTCACCACAATCCTGCTATTATCAGAATCCTGGTCACTAAATCGTGTAAGTGAATAATTTTCCACATGTTTATTTTGTAAAGGAACATGAGAAGTCGTTTGAAGTATTTTAGATGGACGAAATAATGGCAGTGTGCTGTGGCTAGCGCTGTGAACATCTTGAAACAGCATTTATTTACTGATATCTGAACATGTACACAGCACAGTCTTTATCACAGTCAGGCTCTTCTGTAATACTATCATGGCTAAATAATACCAGATACTTGTATATATTTGGACTTTTTAGGCAATGCTGTGGTCTCGAGCTGAACAGCAATGCCGTTAGCTCATGCTGCGTGTGCCAGCCTTGGTTGCTCACTCAGTACCGAGGCCTTCACACCCGGGTTTGAGCCTGCACAGCTTGTTACCACAGCATCATGTAGTAATGGTGAAATATATGAATAACTGTGATTATTTTGCAATGTTAATGGAAAAGGGCTATGTACAAAGTTCAGATATCAGTGAACACAATGCTGGTTATGTTGTTTTATGATGTTTACAGTGGGAAGAAGACATTCACAGCACCTAGCCACTGTTTTGTGCATCTACATATCATGAATTAGCACCTTATGTTCCCTTACAAAATTGACGCATAGAAAATGAGTGATTCATATTCAGGATTTAGTGACCAGGATTCAGATAATAATGGCAGTGATGTGGCTTGAATTAGTGTTTTGTGTGGAGTACTATGTGTTTGGAGGCATTTTGCTGAGTCGGGTGGTGTCATCAGCTGAGTAGCCTGTAGTACTATGCTTTGTTTTCATTACTGCACCCACCAGAACTGCTTAGTGGTTTGTTATGGTCCATACAAATGTAGATATTTATATATAACGTGTAGGGTCAGATCTAATTGTTTTCTGGGGGAAAGTCACTTTGACTCCCCGAGCTATCCAGGCTGATGTGTACTCATTAGACTTTGGCATCGGTCAGTGTGAATGGAGTTCTAGGCCTACCGGGGAACACGAGCCAAAACTTGGCCCCCCTCAGAGAGGCACAAGGAGCAGTAGCCTATAGAAATGCATATGGGATTAGGAGCATTCTGTGTCTGCCATCGACCGGGCCCCTATTCTGGTTAAAATAACTGAAGAAGACTAACAAGTGGACAGAACTCTCCAATTGAAAACGAGCAAACGCTTATGACGTCACTCATCATTTCCCTAACTTGTATACCATGCAAGGTGATGGAGAAGATCGTGAGGAAAAGGCTCATAGAGCACCTGGAGGGAAATAGCTTTGTAACACACCACCAGCATGGGTTCAGAGATGGTAAATCGTGCCTCACAGGCCTAACAGAATTCTATGACCAAGCAACACAAATTAGGCAAAAAACAGAAGGGTGGGCAGACTGCATTTTCTTGGACTGTCAGAAAGCCTTTCACACAGTACCTCACAAAAGGCTGTTACAAAAGTTGGAGCAGCAGGCAGGAGTAAAAGGCAAGGTGCTCCAGTGGATAAGGGAATATCTAAGCAACAGGAAACAGCGAGTAACTGTAAGGGGGAGGCATCAGAGTGGCGAGATGTCACCAGGTGAGTCCCACAGGGCTCTGTACTTGAATCCATCCTGTTTTTAATATATGTTAACGACCTTCCAGAGGGTATAGACTCATTCCTCTCAGTGTTTGCTGATGATGCAAAAATTATGAGAAGAATCAAAACAGATGAAGATAGACAGAGACTACAGGACGACCTGGACAAACTAGAGGAATGGTCTAGAAAAGGGCTACTAAAGTTCAACTTAGGAAAGTGTAAAGTAATGAAATTAGGCAAAGGGAACAGAAGGCTGAATACAATGTACCATCTGGGAGGTGATATCCTGTAAGAGACAAATAGAGAGAAAGATCTGGGGGGTTGATATCACACCGAACCTGTCCCCAGAGGCCCACATCAAAAGGATATCATCAGCGGCATATGCTAGACTGGCCAACATAAGAACTGCCTTCAGAAACTTGTGTAAGGAATCTTTCAGAACCCTGTATACCACTTATGTAAGACCAATCCTGGAGTATGCAGCTCCAGCCTGGAGGTTACGAGGAAAGGCTAAGGAAGCTGAACCTCACATCCCTGGAAAACAGAAGAGTAAAGGGAGACATGATAACCACCTACAAAATTCTCAGGGGAATTGACAGGGTGAACTAAGACAAACTCTTTAGCAAGGGTGGAACACAAACAAGGGGAACACAGGTGAAAACTTAGTACCCAGATGAGCCACAGAGACATTAGAAAGAATTTTTTCAGTGTAGTTAGCAAATGGAATGCATTAAGTAGTGATGTGGTGGAGGCTGATTCCATACACAGTTTCAAACGTAGATATGATAGAGCCCAGTAGGCTCAGGAATCTGTACACCAGTTGATTGACAGTTGAGTTTGCGGGGACCAAAGAGCTAGAGCTCAACCCCGCAAGTACAACTAGGTGAGTACGTGTAGCACTGCATGTCTGCACAACTCCCCCCTCCTCGGGAGGGGGAAGGGGAAGTCCCAGACCCACCGTGCCGGCGATCCACTCTCCAGTTCTCGACTGATGTGATTGTGGCTCAGTCGTGTGGCTCCAGCTCTAGTATCTGTGTTGTGCTGGGCCTTGCCGGGCCTTGTGCGAGCTGGGAGTAATATTCACAGGTACTCGGGCTGCATGTGCTTAGGGTTCCCTTCCTTGAGTGCCCTGTAAGTAACCACCCTTGGGCCTTGCGGTTATCTTCCACAAGTCACCTTGGGGTCTACCTCAGTTGGTCTTTTGCTACTCGGTGATTGACCGCCCCAAGTGTGTGGGGGTTTCCTCCCTTGTTTACCTTGGGGTAAGTGGTAGTTTTTGCACTGGTAGGGGTGCGGGGTACTGCGCAGCTAGTTTTCAACTATTACAGCGGCCGGTTCTGTTCCTCCTGGGTACATTGTCCTCTTGCAGAATTTTTGTTTTTGCCTGGTAAGGGAGGGTCTGCCTTTGTGCCCCCTTGCCCCTGTTATATTAGGGTCTTGACCTCCGGTGTTCGAAAGTATCCCCTGCTTGGCTCACTTGAGTGGACATGTCCCGAGGGTTCAGCTTTAGCAGTTTATTTGGTAGCTTTGGGCGCCGGTTAGTAGTACTCTGCCTAGGCTTACCCTTAGCGATACCAGTCTAAGGGCCCCTGGGAATCCTTGCGGGGGCGCACGGGATCCGATGGATGCAACCCCTGGGTTCCCTCTCGCCTTGTGTGAGTTTGCACAAGGTGAGATTGTCTCAGGGCGACGCTTATTGTTTTCGCCTCCGTCATGCTGCCTGTTGGGTCAGAGACACTTGCGACCCGGAGTCCTGTGAGTTTTGTTGCTTGTTAGTGACTCAGTTCACTCAGTCCACTGATGTCTCTCTACGGGTTATCTTGAGATG